ACTTTTGAAAAATATTAATCTCCGTGTGCCTTCTCGTCAAACAAGACCGAATCAACCATTCCACGTGAGATCATTTCGTACTAATTATGCTAGCAATTCCTTCCTGTCTAGATCTTCAAGGTTAGCAAATCAGTATTCTGACAAGTTGGATTTCTTCAGAAGTCAGAAAGCATTCAAAATTCAATTAGATTCCTGTCAGTAATATTTAATATTTGATTTCCCCATATATGCATATTTTAATTAAATTTAGAAGTGATCTGGATTTTAATGTGTTTATGATTGTTTTAAGTGTTAAATATCTAAGTCTAGGTTTACATTAGATCTTCTAGGCTGTACTTTAATTGGGCAGTCGCTCGATGATAAATAAATAAATAAATAAATAAAACTCCGAGAGGAGGGGAAATTGCATCTGTCCCCGCTCCATCGACTACGGGATCCCGTGAAAAAGTGCTTATAGATGTCTCACAGCGGACGTGCAGGCCCAAAAAACGCCAAAACATAAAACGGAAAAATAACAAAAGAAAAATAGAAAATATGACGTCCGCAAAAAATCCGGCGTTTAAATCAACGTCGTTGTCATTGCACTCTTAAATATTTCATTCAAAAAAATAACGGACTTTTCCATGGATGAAATATGTGTTTACGGTATTGTATTAATTTAAATAATCGAAAGAATATACAAAAAAAAACAAGTTAGACAACATGTTGTTGTCTTTTAACACTCTATTAATTGATACAATATTTGCTTTGTATTCCTTTTTACTAGCTCATCACTTTTGGTTTACATTAAGGATTTTATCTTAATTAATTAAATCTCAGTCAAAGAGAACACACACACACCTACACACACACACACGCACACACACACACACACACACTGTAATTCCGGTTCGGTCCATCTACACTATTGCTAGAACCAAATAAAGTTTTTAAAAAACGAAGTCCGAAGTTCCCACCACATGATTAACATATATTTTCCCTAATATCCACCAGATGACCCATTGCCTGTACTATTGAGGTTAATATGTTCAGATTTACAAACTTTAAAGTGCAAGTAGTTAGCAGGAGTTGTAATTAATTACGTTGAGCAGCTTCGTTAAAGTTTTGCTGAAGTTTTTGTTCCACGTAAGAGGACTTATACCTTTCTTTGGAAACTCAAAAAAGCTATTCAGGCTCCAGAAGCTTTTTTCATGCAGTTCTCTAAAAATTTGATTGATGCATGAACATATGCGCCCCCAGGGGGTGGCAGAGGGAGACCCTACGAGAATTCGGTTGGATTTTAGCCTGCTTTTGTTGTACAATTTGGTAGAAGTTAAATAAAGTATAAGGCATAAAAACCCATTTTTGGACAGCGGAAAACATTCAAACGCCTCTAACTGACCAGCTGAAGGCTATTCCAGTGTCGGGGTTCAAGCACTGCTATGAGGAGTAGAAGACGTGTAATGGGGAGATAGAAAAGATTCTGGAAAAAAATGGCATCAGCTAAAGAAGCAAGCAAGAATGACAAGATACAAAACAGCGGCAAACGTTTGTTATCGGAACTTGAACAGAGCTGTTTGAAATTTGATGACGATGTGGATGACTGAGACGTTGTTCTTCGGACTTTCATTCTCTATAAAGTATCCGTTTCACGACGTTTACATTGAGATGATCGTCAGTTCAATTCACCTGATGACATAGAAGATCACATCAACCGAAACTTCGTGAAACACAAAACTTTATAGACAATGCAACATTTTCAATTGAAATGAGCTATCCTTAAACCAAACGGTAGAAAGGATTCGGAGAAAAATATATACCGGGTGATTCTCCAAGGTGACTCACACCTATAACTTTTTTATTATTGAAGTTAGAAAAACGAAATTTGGGGCTTGCATATTACAGATAAATCTACATTTTTTGACATATTCACTTGCGCTGACGTACTTCTGATTTGACCGGAAACGAATCCAACTTTCGCTTTTCAAATGGGATACTCTATACAGGGTGTTTCAGTTTATTGTTGCATAACTTTAAGATTCGATAGAACTTTTAAAATTAATGCATAAAGTCTATATAAACATGGGTCGAAAAATGCGTGGCTTCCGAAATACAGGGTGTTTAAATTTACTTTTTAAAATAGTTTTTTTTTAAATATTTCGAACAATATTTGATGTATAAGAGTGAAAATTGGTATACAAGGGTTTTTTGGTACGACAAAACGAACCAAGCATAGTTTTACTGTAGCCGCTAGAGGGCGCTCTCTACTGTACCTGTAGTGTATTAAAATGACCGAAAAAATTTTCTTAGTGCAATTTTTTGCTTTTTGAATAAAAAAACTGATTCTTCACACTTTTCAACATAAAAAAGCTCTCCTGTGAGTTTTCGTTATAGTTAGCCGTTTTTGAGATATTTCGATTTTTAAGGTTCGATGCATTTTTAATTATTTATGGGAAAATAATATTTTTTTTTACATTTCCGATTTGGGCATTACAAGTAATTGAGTTGATCGTTTAGATTGTGTTTTTAAACACAGCAATAATTCCTAACTCCAAATAAACACAAAAAACAGAATATTAACTTGTTTAATTTTCCAATATTATTTTTAACAAATTAAATTAATTATTTACAACTAAAATGCTATTGGATAGTTAGGACAAACATACAAAATCTAAAGTAGTTGATCAAAATGTAAACCCAATTGTTCAATACACAATTCACATCTACGAATGATCGAACGTGGTATAGCATTATTCAAATAAGGCCTTATTTCATCACATGCATTCCTGATTCTGTCTATTAGCATATCTCTTGTGGTTACGGGAGTCTGGTACACTTTTTCTTCTAGAACTCCCCACACAAAGAAATCTAATGGATTTAGGTCAGGGGATCGTGGAGGCCAGGTGACTGGTCCTCCACGGCCGCTCCATCTTTCTGGATAATTTTCGTTCAGCCAGTTTCTAACTATTCTCGAATAATGAGCTGAACAACCATCAAGCTGGAACTTGGCCAATCTTCTTAAATCTAACATAACATCATCCCACATATTTGCATGCTCAGCTTTTAAAAATTTCAAGAAGGTCGCAGCATTTAACCTTGCAGGCAAAAGGTAGGGTCCAAATAGTCGATTACGGTAGATACCAATCCACACGTTCACACTAAATTCATGCTGAAACGTTACTTAAAAACTCCCTATTATTATCAGTTCTATCAAGAATCCACTGACAAAATGTAATTCTTCGTTCTCCGTCCCCTGGCTGTAGTCCTTGCACAGATTGCAAATGGTAAGGACGTCTATGGTCATTTCTAAGAACACTGTGAACATGGCTTGCTGAAATTCCCAAGGCACCAGAAACTCTCCTAACACTTGTGGTCGGATCTCTATCAAACTCACGCAGAATCATACGGATGAATCTGCGCTGACGAACATTTATGTTTTGATCCCTTTGGAGATTTCCAAAACCATTTTCAATTATTTGGCGATGCACTCTTACAAATACTGAGCGAGTTGGATGTCGTCTGTTTGGAAATCTTCGTGCGTATTCTCTGGCTGCTTCTGCTGCGTTTCCATTTACAAAGCCATACACAAAATGAATATCCGCTAATTCTTGATTAGAGAATAAAAATGGCATTTTTATAAAACTTAAAAAAAAAACAGTTAAAAGAAACTGAATTTCGTACATTCACAATTGCAAACAACGTTTCAGGTTTCAACAGACAACAAAACTAACTGTCAACTAATTGACGTTTAACCTTATTCTGCTTTCAATTTCAAAAATATTTGCAGGCACAGCCTACTTCTAAAAATTATCGAGATACTGACTTTTTAACGTTATTTTATCATAAATAATTAAAAATGCATCGAACCTTAAAAATCGAAATATCTCAAAAACGGCTAACTATAACAAAAATTCACAAGAGAGCTTTTTTATGTTGAAAAGTGCGAAGAATCAGTTTTTTTATTCAAAAAGCAAAAAATTGCACTAAGTAAAATTTTTCGGTCATTTTAATACACTACAGGTACAGTAGAGAGCGCCCTCTAGCGGCAACAGTAAAACTATGCCCATGGTTCGTTTTATAGTAGCAAAAGACCATTGTATACCAATTTTCACTGTTATACATCAAATATTGTTCGAAATATTTAAAAAAAACTATTTTAGAAAGTAAATTTAAACACCCTGTATTTCGGAAGCCACGCATTTTTCGACCCATGTTTATATAGACTTTATGCATTAATTTTAAAAGTTCTATCGAATCTTAAAGTTAAGCAACAATAAACTGAAACACCCTGTATATTTTTACTTATTACGGTCGAGAATGACATTCTAAGCTCAACAACGCCTAACTTGTCAATATTTGATATATTAAGTCATGTTCATTCCAATTCTTATTTTTCCGATCTAGAATGCGATGGATCCTGTAAATCCCTTCATTTTTGTTGCTTCCCCGTAAATAAACAATATGTCAATTGTCTAGCTTTCCATTGTAAATTAGCTACGTAACAATACATAATAATAATAAATAAATAATAATAAATTTTTAAGACTGACAGTATTTTTAATAACCAAGATTAAGTATATGGATAACTAGAATAATAGGACTTGGTGCCTAGGTATACTGAATGCAGATAAGTAGGTATTATTCGTTGTTAGGTATGATCGTTTCCTACAATTATTCAGAAAAATAGTGCAAATAAAATAAGAGTGTGTAGCGTCAAAGTAGTAGTAAGAAAATGGTCTCTTAGAAAAAGCCGACGAGCCGCCGCTTTTCTATGTAAAAAATCAAGTAAACTGAAAAAAATAGTGTTATAACTTTTATAAATTCTTTAAAATGACCTTAAAATCTTATTTTCCCGTGTCACTTGATCAAAAATGAAGCGATTGGCAGGATTGACAGAATGTCATTCTCGATCGAAATAAGTAAAAATATATTCGTCTATTTAAAGATCGAAAGTTGGCGTGGTTTCCGGTCAAACAGGAAGAACGTCAGCGCAGGTGAATATGTCTAAAAAATGTAAATTCATCTATAATACGCAACCACCAGATTTCGTTTCTATATCTTCAATAATAAAAAAGTTATAGGGGTGAGCCATCTTGGAGAATCACTAAAAATATAAAACCTCAATAATAATAGCATGAAGCGTTAAACGTCTTCATTGAAGGGACTGAACAGTTTTTTTACATAGACAACTACTTCAGTTACAAAATCCAAATTTTCATCTGATACCTAAGTATAGAATTTTTGCAATTTTATTTGTCCCTTCACCTGGCTAATGTGCGATTCAGAAGCTGTTTGTATATTCAGGAGGTGGCGCCAAATCCACCCCCCTCTCCTCCTACGTATCCCTTTCCGACTCATCGAATTCATCGTCGTACGTCTGCGTGGCCTTGTGCCGTTCCCTGCACGTGCAAGTCCGCCTTATCACTTTTTCCGCCTCCTCTTTAGTCTGCGCCTCGCCGTTGCGCAGTGACTGGAAGCCCGCCGGTGGAGGGGGTGGAGTAGGCGGGACGTCATCCTCTCCCAGAGAGGCGTGACCGATCACAACGGGGGGCGGGCACGGACACCTTCTCGGTAGACGGCGCTTGTACGGCTCCCAGTCGTGGCAGCCCGCCAATTGGCAGCGTCAGTGCGTCACGATCACGTCCGGCGCTGATTTTCTTGTTTGGACGCTCAACCGGTATTTGTCGTCTTTTTTGTGCTGGTGCATGTGCGAGTGCTGGAGCGGCGATTTTGATTTGACGGGGGCCATCTCGATCTTTGCCTCCGCCTGGAACGAGAATTTTCTGGTTACTTTTCAAATGTAAATTAATTTACTACCTACTGCTCAAAACTCCAGATCAACAAATTATACTAAGTGACATATAAATCCGAACACCCAGTTTAAATGGTTTTATTTTGATAAAAGTTGGTGAATGTATTTATCTTACTGTAAATAACAAGTGAAAAAAATTTCAGCCTTATCAGTTGGACATTCCGGTTTTTGTACTGTTTTTTTTTAATTCACTAACGCTCTAAAAATGAATATTTCAGCTGCAGTAAAGAATCAACGTTGGCGGATTTTGGTTCTTGACATCCTTTACGATCGGTTACGATGCCTAGAGTACGGAGACCTGTACGATTTCGTCAACTTAGTGAGTTTGATAGGGGCCGTATAGTGGGACTTCGGGAAGCTGGACTTTCTTTTCGGGAAATTGCAGTTAGAGTGCAAAGAAGTATAGACACTGTGGTTAGGTGTTGTCAGGCATGGCTTCGAGAAGGCCGTACGCAAAGAGCAAGGGGCACTGGACGCCGCCGTAGAACAACAGACCGTGAAGATCGCCGCCTAAGATTATTGGCCATAAGGGACCGTTTCTCCACTACCAGGTCCATTGCAAATGAATGGTTTGCAGAACACGGAAGACCTGTTGGCGTGCGAAATGTTTACCGACGAATGAGAAGTTTTGGCTTGTTTTCATACCGGCCACACTGGGTCCTCCCTTTAACTTGAGAACACCGACGTAATCGCCTTGAGTGGTGCAGACAACTGTCACTCTGGGATCAGGAATGGAACAGCATTGTCTTTAGTGACGAGTCTCGATTTTGTTTAGGCATGCACGATGGTCGTGCCAGGGTTAGAAGGCGACGTGGTGAAAGGAGGAATCCACAGTTTTTTGTTGAAAGACATGTTCATCACACTGTTGGAGTTATGGTTTGGGGTGCTATAGCTTATGGTTCCAGGTCACCTTTAATCTTCATCAGAGGTAACATGAACGCGCAGCGTTATATCCACGAAGTTCTAGAACCCCATCTTTTACCCTATCTTGACACCCTGGCAGATCCAACTTTGCAACAAGATAAAGCCCAACCACATGTTGCAAGAGTCACAATAGACTTCTTTCAACATAATGATGTCACATTGTTACCATGGCCACCAAGATCTCCCGACTTATCCCCAATTGAACACGTGTGGGATATGATGGGTAGGAGATTGCTCAATTTGCAACGTCCTCCTCAGACTCTAGAAGCACTTCGAGAGGAGTTGGTGGTTGCCTGGAATGAGATACCACAGGAGGACATTGACCACCTGATCAGAAGCATGCCTAGGCGCGTTGGAGAATGCGTAGCACATCAGGGTGCATTAACACATTATTAAAGGTCAAAGGGCTTTAAAGCAGTGCAATCATTTTGAAATTTTTATCATTTACTTATTATGCTTCATTAATTACTTATACAAAACTTTATTAAAATAAAACCATTTAAACTGGGTGTTCGGATTTATATGTCACTTAGTATATTAGGAGTATATTGACCTGAAAGATGAACATGCAGACTGAAGAGAAGAAAGCAGAAATTTTGCAAAACAAATTATCTTGTGTTATTTCTTAGAATTGCATGGGAAGCTTGAGGAGCTGAAAACTAGAACCTTCAGCCTGACAAAGATCACTGAAAAATTTGGATTTTTTTCTTGATTCCTTAATTTTTTGAGTAGTATATTTCTGTAAGAAGAGACTTACCTTAAATTTGATTTCTTTCTTATATCCAAAAGTACTAAAAGGTGCAGGTGGGGAGTTCGTATGCGCACTATGATTAGGCGTGCTGTTATCGGAACTGTTGTAACCCTGAGTTGTGAACAGACTCTCTCGCGTTTGACACGCGCTGTCACACATTTGCGGAGGATTATCAGCATCCACCTGAAAAGAAGAAACCTTATCAAAAAAATTAATAGACCACAACAGAATTAGTACTCAACAGAACGTTGTTCAAGTATCGGTTGTCGGTATAATCCAGGAACGAGATGTCTATGATCTCCAGTTGAGCGTTAAGTAAAGAGTGTCGCCTATCGGGCGCCTATGCCACGTGCCACGAGATTATATTTGAATTTGCCTTTTTTTTTTACTCTTAGAATGCACCCATCTCATGTCGCTTTGCATCAGGTCTTGAACGAGGAAGACCTTGATCGGAGGTTGGTTGGATGTTAGGCATGCTATGCCAAAATAGATAATTTTTATTTCAAATTCTTTGGACCGATTAGGCTAGTTATAATAGTAGAGTCAATCTGCACAATATACACTATTGGTCTGCAGAAAATCCGCGTTCGGTGCGTTGGAGTTTAAATGTGTGGCGTGGTATCCTGTGAGGCAGAATTATTGGGCGGGATTTCTTCGAGCAATCCCTAAATGAGCAATGTCTTTCTTGACTTTTTGGGCACTTACCGTTGTTGTTAGAAGATGTGCCACTGGAAACACTGTGTTTTTGCAGTTGGATGGTTGTCCAGCACATTTTGCTATTATTGTGCGAGAGCATATTAACGCAGTATTTCAACAGCGGTGGATTGGAAGAGGAAGGAGGGTGGTATATAGAAAGATATTATTGAGCTAACAATTTTATGTATATTTATCTTAGTAAGTGAACTGTGCAGTGTCTGACGTAGAATTTAGGATTTCATTCACGTAGATGATAACTCCATCATTTTGGTTGAAATTCGCGTTGTTGTAGAACATTTTATGACCATCTAGCTTGAAAAAAGAGCGTCTGCAACATTACAAGTTCCAGTTAAAATGATAACGTCGAATTTTTTATTAAAAGAATTTAAGTATACATATACTAAGTGACATATAAATCCGAACACCCAGTTTAAATGGTTTTATTTTTATAAAAAGTTGGTGAATGTATTTATCTTACTGTAAATAACAAGTGAAAAAATTTTCAGCCTTATCAGTTGGACATTCCGGTATTTATACTGCTTTTTTTTAATTCACTAACGCTCTAAAAAGGGATATTTCAGCCGCAGTCAAGAATCAACGTTGGCGGATTTTGGTTCTTGACATCCTTTACGATCGGTTACGATGCCTAGAGTATGGAGACGTGTACGATTTCGTCAACTTTGTGAGTTTGATAGGGGCCGTATAGTGGGACTTCGGGAAGCTGGACTTTCTTTTCGGGCAATTGCAGTTAGAGTGCAAAGAAGTGTAGACACTGTGGTTAGGTGTTGTCAGGCATGGCTTCGAGAAGGCCGTACGTAAAGAGCAAGGGGCACTGGACGCCGCCGTAGAACAACAGACCGTGAAGGTCGCCGCCTAAGATTATTGGCCTTAAGGGACCGTTTCTCCACTACCAGGTCCATTGCAAATGAATGGTTTGCAGAACACGGAAGACCTATTGGCATGCGAAGTGTTTACCGACGAATGAGAAGTTTTGGCTTGTTTTCATACCGGCACACTGGGTCCTCCCTTTAACTCGAGAACACCGACGTAATCGCCTTGAGTGGTGTAGACAACGGTCACTCTGGGATCAGGAATGGAACAGTATTGTCTTTAGTGATGAGTCTCGATTTTGTTTAGGCATGCACGATGGTCGTGGCAGGGTTAGAAGGCGACGTGGTGAAAGGAGGAATCCACAGTTTTTTGTTGAAAGACATGTTCATCACACCGTTGGAGTTATGGTTTGGGGTGCTATAGCTTCTGGTTCCAGGTCACCTTTAATCTTCATCAGAGGTAACATGAACGCGCAGCGTTATATCCACGAAGTTCTAGAACCCCATCTTTTACCCTATCTTGACACCCTGGCAGATCCAACTTTCCAACAAGATAATGCCCGACCACATGTTGCAAGAGTCACACCAACTTTCCAACAAGATAATGCCCGACCACATGTTGCAAAAGTCACAATAGACTTCTTTCAACATAATGATGTCACATTGTTACCATGGCCACCAAGATCTCCCGACTTATCCCCAATTGAGTACGTGTGGGATATGATGGGTAGGAGATTGCGCAATTTGCAACGTCCTCCTCAGACTCTAGAAGCACTTCGAGAGGAGTTGGTGGTTACCTGGAATGAGATACCACAGGAGGACATTGACCACCTGATCAGAAGCATGCCTAGGCGCGTTGGAGAATGCGTAGCACATCAGGGTGCATCCACACATGATTAAAGGTTAAAGGGCTTTAAAGCAGTGCAATCATTTTTAAATTTTTATCATTTACTTATTATGCTTCATTAAGTACTTATACAAAATTTTATTAAAATAAAACCATTTAAACTGGGTGTTCGGATTTATATGTCACTTAGTATATTTCTAATTCGTAAAAATTCTTTGATATACGTCCAATATTTTAATAAACTATGCTAAATTGTTTTCCATCTTAAATATTCTATTCTGAAGCATTATTCAAGATTTTGGTATTAAATTGTGTATAATTAATACCTCTTATGTATTGACCCATAACTTAGTACAAAACTATAAATAATCGTAAACAGAATACCTGCCACGTTACCGTTAATATCAAAATCTCGAATGTGTTAGATACAGAATAAGCGCAAATTTTTAGTGAATCTAAGCTTTGATTAAGGCTTTTTAGGTTAATGTGGAAAATTTTTAAAGGTATATTTCCACTAATCATTAAAGCATCTAACTGACTGACGTGATCAATATGATATGTTTTTATATTGTTAATGTTAAAATTAGTTACGTAATTGTCCATTTTAAAAAATGTATGTTTTTGTGAATGTTGTTTTACTTACTTTTTTTTATTGTTTATTATTATTTTTTTTTAGATGCAAAAATTGATTGAATCATATACAGGGTGGCGCACCGAAAACGAAACAGACGCATTTACTGGCAGCTCAGATTTTTTTGGAAAAACGCTCAGACCCGTCGATTTTGTTTTCGCGAGGGACTCAAGTTTGGCAAAAAATCTCGTTAGCACGTGCAGCCCCCTAAGCGGGGATGACACCACCCCCAAAATCTTAAATGGAAAGGGGGGTCGAGTGATACTTTATTTTAAAGGTCTTTCAATTCTCTTTATGATATAAAATTAATGTACTTCAGTTCAGTAGTTTTTTTAGTTAGATTTATTGATTTTAAGCTTAAATAAAACTAATACATCATCATTAGTGGAGATCAATACATTCGGCAGCAAAGTAATTTAAAAATGAAGAATGAACTGACCCGTTAGGCAAGTAAATGTCGAAAATGGCCACCATGACTCTCCATGCAATAATAAAGATTTTGCTCAAATCGTTGCCGAACATTTTGCAATATTTGAAGAGTAATTTGAAGGCACTTATTTACAATTCTACAGCCCAAACATTTAATTTTTGTGGCTGCTGTGTATGAACCTCATGATAAATTCTGGAATTAGAATCGGACCAATATCGGCAGTTATGATGATTTACTACGGCATTTAAGAAAAAGGAAAACTCGTCGAAAAAGCAAGTGTTGAATAGAAAATGTTCATCGTCAATAAATCTTCAAAACTGCTGAACTGAAGCTCATGTATTTTACATCATTATAAAGGGAATTGAAAGACCTTTAAAATAAGGTATTATTCGACCCCCCTTTCCATTTAAGATTTTAGGGTTGGTGTCACCCCCGCCCAGGGGGCTGCACGTGTTAACGTGATTTTTTGGCAAACTTGTGTCCCCCTCGAAAACAAAATCGACGGGTCTGAGCGTTTTTCCAACAAAAAAAATTGAGCTGCCAGTAAATGCGTCTGTTCCGTTTTCGATGGGCCACCCTGTATATATATATATATATATATATTCATAAACGGGACACTTTTGACTTGTTGGTACATGCTCGATGTTTTTTTATATTTCCGATTTTCTGATTAAAAGTCTCTTTCTATGGCCTTCGCGATCACTTAGCTTGTCTTGATTTTTATTTATGGGGACGTTTAAAGGACATCGTGTTTCAGACTCAACCTACAACCAGAGCAGATATGAACAACCGGGTTCGTAATGCAATACGTAATGTATCGAGAGGAATGCATAGAGCGTGATGTCAGCATTTCGAGCAAATACGGGAGAGTAAAAATATTTCTTCTTCAAATCTGTCATTTTTAGGCCCACCACTTAATAATAAAAAGAAGTTCCAGAAAAATAATTTAAATAAATAAAAATTTATGGCAATAGGGAGCCTAAAATCTAATGCGAAGGGAATTGATGGTATATCCCTGTCAATGATCCAGATTTGCCTGCCAGTTATTCTCCATCACATCGTTTGGAAGAAGGCTACTTTCCAAACACATGGAAACAAGCTCTAATTATTCCAATTCCTAAAAAAATGAAACCCACTGAGTATAATGATCTCAGACCTATCAGTTTATTACCAATTTTATCAAAAATTTTAGAAAAAATTATAAAGTTCCAATTGACCGCTTACCTAGAAAAATTCTTTATACTTCCCGACACTCAATCCGGATTTAGAAAAAATTAGGTATAGTACAACATCTGCCCTACTTAATCTGCAAGACAATATTTTAAGTGCCTTAGATAAGAAAATGGCACTAGCCTTAATCTCTATAGACTATTCGAAAGCCTTTGACAGCATCAATAATAAATTATTACTTGCTAAATTAAATTACATAGGTCTTGACAGTGTATCCCTTTCATTTTTCGACAATTACCTTCATCAAAGAACTCAGTGTGTTCTTCTCAATCAAGAAATGTCTCAAGTGACAAATATTCCCTCAGGCGTACCTCAGGGCTCTGTATTGGGGCCGCTTCTGTTTCTCATATATACATTCGACTTAAGCAAACACAATTAATTTGGAAAATATCCTTTAAATATATATTGAATAACAGCGGACCTAAGACAGTTCCTTGTGGGACACCACACTTAATATACATTTCTTTACTAAATGATCCTGAGATCTGCACAGATTGTGGGCGATTTGACAAATAACTTTCGATCAGTGAGTACGCGTTTCCTCTGAAACCAATTCTCTCCAATGCTTCTAATAATAATTTGTGATTAACTGTGTCGAAAGCTTTCTTTAAATCAACAAAAATGCAGATTGAAGGGATTCTGTTATCAATATTTTGATGTATTTGATTTACAATTTTAGTTATTGCGTCCGATGTAGCCTTCCCTTCTGTAAATCCATATTGATTTTCACTTAAAATTTTGAATTTTGAGAGGTATCGGATCATTCTAGTAGATAAAACTTTTTCAAAAACCTTTGCTACACTGGATATTATTGATATTGGTCTATAGTTGTTAACATCTGTTTTTGTTCCTGATTTATGTATCGGTATTATATTACCTTTTTTTAAAATTGAGGGTCGAAGCATTTGTTGATTAGGTAAGTGAGTGGTTCTGTTATGTCCTCGGCTATAATTTTCAAATGCTCGCTTTTAATACCATCGAACCCAGGACTTTTCCGATTTTTTAATGACATAACAGTGGTGTATACTTCACATTGTTCGACTTTATCCAAAATAAATGAGTTCAAAGTTCTTTTTGGAGGCTGAGTATTTGGTACATTTGCTTGTATATTACTTGCTAAATTTTCGCCTATGTCAGTAAAGAATTGTACAAATTCATCGCATATCTGTTGAGTATTTTTTAATACTGTTCCCGATGTTGTATTTAACTCAGTGACACATTCTTTAACTTTTGTTTTCCCAGTAATCTCATCAATAGTTGTCCAAAGCCGCTTAGGATCATTTAAGTTATTATTCAATTTATTTAGGTAATGTTTTCGTTTGGTTTGCCTTACAAGCTCTATAAATTTATTTTTATATTGGTTGTAGCAGTCGGTATTCTCTGTAGTTGGCGTTATTTTCATTACATTATATGGTCTTTCTTTTTCTATTGCCGATGTTATTAATCCTTTGGTAATCCAGGCATTTCTGCTTTTCTCTTTGTGACTAATTATTACTTTATTGGTACTCATATCTATTAGTTTTTTTATTTTCTCTATGAACAGTCCCGTTGCTTTGTCTATATTATTTCTATAGTATAATTGTTCCCAGGATTCTTGTTTGACATTTGATATTAGTTTTGAATTGTCGACAAAAAATTTTTAATTTTCCTGGTTGTTACTAACGGTAGGGATGTTAGAATGTTTTTCATTTGAAGATATCAGTAAAATAGTGGAGAAGTGGTCAGTAATATCGCTTTCTAGGATTATTGGTATACAAGTAATTTTGTTGGATAGGTCTTTCACAAAGCAGTGATCTATACATGTGCCACTGATGGACCTTGTAGATAGGTTTATATAGGACAGAAATCCGTTACTTGATAGGATATTCAAGTATTCATTTGTGATGGGATCATCGTCCAAAACATTTATATTGACATCTCCCAAGAAAATATGTTGCTTTAAATGAACTTTATTTTGATTTTGAAAAAAAATTCGATATTCTTTAAAAACTCGTTAAAAATGATGTTCACTGTAGAACTCTCAGAGAAAATAATATTAGAATACCCCTGCATACGTCTACACTTTTTAAACGCAGTTTTTCTTACAATGTTGCTATTATTTATAATGACCTATGTAAAGAATTTTCATTACCTGTCTTCCGACAAAAAGTTAAAACATTATTACTCAACCCTCCAGACATATAATTTACGTAATCATTCATTTCTTTTTTATTCCATCTTTAATTCAGATTAATAATTTTTTGGTGCATTTGGGTTTGGAAAGTATGCCTTTTTCTCTTTTTTTAAATTTTACTTTCGATGTAATGAACCAAATATGTTTGTGGATAGTGTATTCTTTTGAACATCTGCTAGAGACTATATGGTTTAGTGTAAGAGTAGCAGCATGCTATATAAGTCTGACATTTGGCTATTACTACAATGTAATTGTGGATAAATAAAGACGTCTATTATTATTATTATTATGATTATTATTTCCGCATAAAATTTTCTTTGGCATAAGTCTTAGATTAGGTACAAAATATCGAGATGCGGTTTTCGTGAGCTTGTTTAGACATCATTTAGCTACTTTTTCATAAAAAAAACATACCAATGCCTCTGTCGGAATGTCTAAAAAGCCCTCTAGCGGTCATATGTGAAACTAACAAAACTTCAAATATTATAACGTTTGCAGCCCAATAACAGCTCAAGCCCAAGTTTGTTAAAAGACGAAACTTACCGTATAAATGTTAGTATTGAAGGCATCTCCGCTCGACGGACTTGAACTTCTTTCATTCCTCACCAGGATGGAGAGTACATCGCCCTCACCAGCATAACACGAGGTGCTGTTGATCGCATTGATACTGTCGAAACGGTTCGAGTCCATCGAATGGGAACTGTCATGTGATCGTGTCCTTCGTGATAATTTCGAGGACGCTTTGCCTTCCACCACGGCCAGTTCCTGCTGTTTGTCCAGCTCGTTCAGTTGCTGATCCAAGCTGCGGCTTCTGTATTCCTGCAATAGACATACGACTGTTAGTCAGGTAGAATTAGACACATGCAGGGTGTCCCAACCGTGCGAGGACGTAGTATTGCTCCTCAACAAAAAAGCTGATCAAAGAAAACTAGCCATGGATTTTCATAGATGGTAGTAATAATAATAATAATAGCTTTATTGTCCAACAGTTTCCCATTTATAGGACAATTTATAAACACAATACAAAAGCAAAAAAAAAGGAAAAGAAAACAACAAATGCAACACAGCTATAAATTTGTAACATGAGCTATTGGTCCGAATAAGCCTTAGCTGCCTTTAGCAGGTAATTAACATTTGTCGTAAATATATCACAGGAACATCCAATTCTGTTTAAGTTAGAGCACATTACATATAACGGTGACTTGAGAAGAATGTTTGTCCTAGCTCTAGGAAGCCCGAATATTTTATGATTGCGAGATGCAAACGTTGGAGTACGAAACTTGATCTGTTCCAGAATCATGGGGCAATCAATTAAATTGTTGATCATTTTGTAGCCAAATATTATTGAGGCACAGTACCTACGTTTTTTCAAAGTCAACATGTCTAAGCGGCTACATAGTTCCTCATTACTTGTACCTCTCTCTGGATATGTCCCATCAATCCTAAACAGAACAAACTTCATAAACTTCCGTTGTACTCTTTCAATAGCTGTGCTATAGCATTCATAGTAAGGGCTCCGTATAATACTACAATATTCGACTTTGGATCTAACATAAGCATAATATAATAGCTTAATAGACTTTATGTTATGAAAATTCCTGCAATTCCTTACTATGAAACCATAAGCCGCCAATGCTTCTGATGCTTTTTTATTTATATGCTGACTAGAAGTTAACTTTTGATCATAGATTATACCTAAATCACGTACATCAGAGCATCTTTCTAGCACAGTCCCATCAATAGAGTACGGATATTCGCAAACATTAATTTTCCTGGTATAGCTGATTATTATACACTTCCTCACATTAAGCTCCAACTTGTTTTCTACACACCAAGACAGCACAAAATTTTATTGATGTTGTAGCTACAGATACAATCATCAGGAGTATTTATCTGCGAATAAATTTTTAGGTCGTCAGCAAAGCATAGGCGTTCACATTCGACTGAGTCACAGAGGTCATTAATAAATATCAAAAACAGTAATGGTCCCAGGTTGGACCCCTGAGGAACTCCAGAAGGTGCTATGTAGGTCTCAGATTGGAACCCATTATAGCTAACAAATTGTCTACGATCGGATAAGTAAGATTTCATCAACTCCCTAGCATCATCTGTGAAACCAAGTGCACCTAACTTATTTAATAAAGTAGTAGTAGCTTGTAGTAGTAGATATTTATTTAGTACGTAGTGAAAGGTTAATAGAGTTGCATATTTTTCAATTCAAAAATCAGTTTTAGCTGCGTACGGGTATTGACTTCGATATTTTTTAAGAAAAAATGGTACGCCAATGGTTTTTTTGCCAATTTTTTTTGAATTCCCCGTTCAATTTAAAACAAATAATCTCTCTTGAACCGTTTGCCTTCGATGCGCCATTTTTGAGTAAAAAAATAAAAACCGGTCTATTGTCCGAGAAAATTAATGTAATAATTGAAGAATGCAATTTAGCAATAAATATCTAGTTGCTCTGGAATATGTCACTGGCTTTTGACATCTGACAAGTCTCTGTTATTCAACTCTGTTTGCTGTGACATCTTTTTCATTATTTAGTTTTTAGAATCTTGTTAATAATGATGCAGAAATGGCGGAAATGCATCACGTATATGGCCTTGCAGACGGTAATGGTGAGCAAGCCAGACGGATTTATCGCCAGAGATATCCCGATCGTGCTTTGCCAGATAGTCGAACGTTTTCTAATATTCATCGTCGTCTTGTTGAAGCTGGTTCTGTCCGAAAAGAAACATCTGAAGGTAGACCTCTAAGTGTGAGAACACCTGAAATTGAGGAAGCAGTGCTGCACGAAGTCGAAGAACATCCTGAAACGGGTACTAGGAAGATAGCCAGACACTTAAATATTTGCCATCAAATTGTTTGGAGAATTTTAGTGGATCTTTTGTTGTATCCTTACCATATGTTAAGAGTACATGCATTACTTTCCATTGATTTTCCAAGGCGTGTGACCTTTTCTCAGTGGTATCTTCAAAAAATTAGGCATTTTGCTTAAAAAGGCTTCGCAATGAGCTACACGAAATTCAACATTTAACTGACACTGTAAATGTACGAAAACTGAATGCTTCTTTATCACCAAACAATAAACGCAGCTACCACAAAAAAAAGAAAAACCTGACCATTTTATCACTTGTTGTTCATGGCAAGATAAAGCGATATGTAATAAATTCTTGAATTTTAATAGACATACCTCTGTTGTCACTCAGTATATGAGAACAATAATACCAATATAGAATGGGTAAATAAATTTGTTTTAATCCACATTAGGACAATGCCTGTACATGGGGCAGTTGTATGTTGGAATGTCTGACACTCCGAAAACAAAACAAAAAAGTTAAAAGAAACCTAGAGAAAAATTATATTAGAAAGGTATAGATGTACTTGCCCCTTCCCGCTTCAGTTTGCCCAACTATTGAAAACTTAGTTTTTTTCTTATCAAACATAAATAATAAGGTGTTATAGGTTTAAAATATTAACAATGAATACTTTGATAATATATAATAGAAAACATCAACTTTATCACTCCCTAATCAAATTTGCAGCATAAAAATAACACATTTTTTACGACTAGAGTGTATCTAAAATGTTCTTGAAAAAATAAATTGTTTTAGAAGTAAATAGTTTCGTCATGTTTAGTTTATAAAGCCATATTTTGCTACAAATCTTGAAGTGGGCCAACTGAAGTGGGAAGGGGCTCGTAGATGACGATAACTTTCAATAAAAATTTCATAGGAGATCAATAGTGTGTTCTCTTCTTGTTGAGCGTATCCATTTTTATAATTTCTTTTTAAAATTGTCTTTCGAAATTTTGCGGAGTGTTCATATAATTTTAGAGCCTAATGGAGAAGGGATCACTTAGTTATGGTCTTCAGGGTATTCGGAGGATTCATGGGGATATTTCAGAGAGAGCATCGTTAAAAATGTGGAAAAAGGTTTTTATAAACATGGGTCCGAAAATGCAGAATTTTGAAGATACTGCGAGCTAAATTGAAACAGAATTGTTATCTTAACAAATATTTACTCGTTTCTGTTGAAATTTGACAATAATATTTATTGTATTAAGAGGCTGATTTAGTCCCGAATAGATTAAAATTGTTAGGTCCAGTGGCGTCCTGGGGGGCACTTTACCGAATATTATTGACAAAAAATGTACGTTACTGCCTTTTTTATAACTTTATTACTTGTTGTTTGATTAAGGCACTAGTGATTTTTTAGCAAAAATTAATAAAGCAATTCTGTCCAGTGACATGGAATAAAACGGTTTTTATTGTTTTTCTCGAGAACGAAGTGGGATACGAAAACATACATCAGGCAAAGAAGTTAGATTTTCTAGACGTTTAATCCAACAACAAATATTAGTTACAAGTAACTTACAAAAAAGGCAGCGGCGTACATTTTTTTGCCAATAATATTCGCCCTAGGGACGCCACTGGAGCTTATAACTTTAATCTATTTAGGGCTAAATAAGCCAACAAATAACATTGCCAAATTTGAACAGAACGGAGTAAATATTTTTTAAGATATTTGTAAGAGATTTTATTCAACATACATCTTGAAACTCTGCATTTCCGAACCCATGTTTATAGAAACTTTTTTTCATATTTTGTAACAAGAAATCACCCTTTAAAATATCTCCGTCCATTTTTCGAACACCCTGAATTACAGGTTTGACTTATTTTTGATTGATTTAAGTAAATTTAATGGGTGATTTTTTTGCTAGTATCTTTTTGGCAACACTGTTTTTGACAGATGACGCGTGAATCGTGTCTTGTGTCATTGTCAAACTTGTTCAGTTTGGTCTATAATTTAACCATGAATCGACTTACGAACGATCAACGCTTGCAAATTATTGAATTTTACTATCAAAATTCATGCTCGGTTAAGAGAGTGCATCGAGCACTGCTTCCAATTTATGGGCAATTTGGTCGGCCTACTGAGGGAGCTATTCGGAAGCTTATGACTAAATTTCGAACCCAGTTTACATTATTGAACATTAAACCACCAACAAGCAGACGTAGAGTGAGGACTGAAAAAAATATTGCGGCTGTATCCGTCAGTGTTGACCGTGAAATGTCGATTCGCCGCCGTTCGCAGCAATTAGGGCTCTGTTACTCCACTACGTTGAAAATTTTGCGACAGGATTTGGGTGTAAAACCTTATAAGATACAGCTGGTGCAAGAATTGAAGCCACACGACCTCCCACAACGTTTGCAATTTGGTGAATGGGCGCTGGCAAAGTTGGAGGAAGATCCACATTTTTATCGAAAAATTGTGTTCAGCGACGAAGCTCATTTCTGGTTGAATGGGTACGTTAACAAGCAAAATTGCCACATCTGGAGTGAAGACCAGCCAGAAGCATTGCAAGAGCTACCAGTGCATCCCGAAAAAATCACTGTTTGGTGTGGATTATGGGCCGGTAGCATAATCGGGCCGTACTTCTTCAAAGACGACAATGGCCGGAACGTAACTGTGAATGGCGAGCGCTACCGTGCGATGATAACAAACTTTTTTTTGCCCAAAATGGAAGAGCTGGACTTGGCTGACACGTGGTTTCAACAAGACGGTGCCACATGCCACACCGCACACGAAACAATGGCCCTATTGAGAGGCGAGTTGGGTGAACAGTTTATCTCACGTTTGGGGCCCGTCAATTGGCCGCCTAGATCGTGTGATTTAACGCCGTTGGACTATTTCTTGTGGGGCCATGTTAAGGCTAATATCTACAGGGATAAACCAGCAACGATTGACGCACTGGAAGCCGATATTGAAGCATTTATTCGTGAGATACCGATATGTTGGAGAGAGTGTGCCAAAAT